ACAAGGGAGTGGTGGAGGTGACGAACTGCTTCTGTGTGCCGCACAAGGAGCACGACGACCAGGTGGAGGCGGAACTGAGCTATGCCCTGGATATGTACGACTTGAATCGTAAGGTCAACCCTAACGAGAGTGTGGTGGGCTGGTGGGCCACCGGAAACGATGTGACGAACCACAGCTCGGTGATCCATGAGTACTACGCCCGCGAGTGCAATAACCCGGTGCACGTCACTGTGGACACCTCGCTTCAGGGCGGCCGCATGGGGCTGCGCGCCTATGTGTGCATCCAGCTGGGTGTGCCTGGTGGCAAGACCGGCTGCATGTTCACGCCCATTCCCGTCGAGCTGACCAGCTACGAGCCAGAGACCTTTGGCCTGAAGCTGCTCCAAAAGACCGTAGGCGTGTCCCCCGCTCACCGCCCCAAGACAGTTCCGCCGATGCTGGACCTGGCCCAGATCTCGGAGGCCTCGCAGAAACTGCAGTCGCTACTGGACCTGATCCTCAAGTACGTCGATGACGTGATCGCCCACAAGGTGACGCCGGACAATGCTGTGGGGCGCCAGCTGCTTGACCTCATCCACTCCGTGCCGCACATGACCCACGAACAGTTCACCCAGATGTTCAACGCCAACGTGCGCAACCTCCTGTTGGTCATCACTCTGTCCCAGCTTATCAAGACCCAGCTGCAGCTGAACGAGAAGCTAACGTTCCTGCCCACGGCCTAGATCTGTGTGCCTGCAGTGGTGAACTAGGGATATCTTAAGAAAAAAGTGTAAAAGCCGATTGTATTGGATTATGTTTTCTATTAATGGTCTGAGTAATAAAGTGCTCTGGTCGCCCAACTAAGCTGTGTATATTGTCATTAAATATGCAAAATGATTTTATTCTCTTTTATGGAAAGTGTAGATTATCTTCAAAGTGAAAACCGGAGAAACCTGAACCTTTTCTTAAATTCATGCTTAAGTCAGTTGCACGCGTACAGTGATAAAAACAATGTTATGTTTTTCACTCTCACCATCTCGAAAAGGGTAGGAACTGACTTCTTCACTGCGTTTCAAAGAAACACAAATTCAAAGTCCTTGAGCGGGTATAAAAAAGAAAGAAAGTAGCCTCTATATGGCAGATAGTATTCAGATTTTTATAAAACTTTTACCAAATTCTAACATAATACAAAATAGCTATTTTTCAATTTAGATCAAAATATATTCTAAAGACTTTTCTGTGTGTCCTATGGCAGCTATATAATATAGTCGTCCGATCCGTCCCGTTCCAACTTATATACGAGTAAGACTTCATATATAGAAGACTACCTGCAAGGTTTCATTCAGATAGCTTAAGGAATAGATTTCGTAGAAACGGACAGACGGATATGGCAAGATCGACTCGGCTGTTGATGCTGATCAAGAATATATATACTTTATACGGTCAGATATGACTTCTTCACTGCGTTGCAAACTTCTGACTGAAATTATAATATATAACTAGAAAGGAAGCTAACTTCGATCAGTAGGAATTAATACAATATAAATCTATATATATAAAAATGCTCTGTTCGTGTCTACATCCTTCATAGACTCGAAAAGTGCTGAACCGTTTAAGCCCAAATTTTTACACAACATGCGTTGAGGTTCCAGCTCGGTTATTGACTACTTTTGATGTTGATAGCTTATCTGCGGTCGCGAATATATCTATTTTTTTAGCGTTTCCAAGTGCCACTACTGCTGCGCCATCTACAGGCAGCCAGCTGAATCAAAGCATTTCCTGTCAAACATTCAAAACATATTGAAAGAAGAAACTCGAAAAGTTCTGAACCGTTTATGCCCAAATTTTTAGAGAACATGCGTTGAGGTTCCAGCTCGGTTATTGACTACTTTTTATGTTGATAGCTTATCTGCGGTTGCGAATATATCTATTTTTTTAGCGTTTCCAAGTGCCCCTACTGCTGCGCCATCTACAAGCAAATCAAAGCATTTCCTGTCAAACATTAAAAACATATTGAAAGAAGAAATTGGAGATACAAATTTTATTTTTTTTGTTCAGGTTCAGTAAGAAACGAAGTCATGCCACCAAAGAAGTCGAGATTGGGTCGTCGTATTCGCAATACAGAAGCAAAAAGACGTAAGATTACGAATATGACTGACGAAGAACGGGCCTCCATCCGAGAGACGCGGCTGCGCGATGAACTTTTACTCATACAAGTTAATGGTTCGGAGGACCGATTGCAATCATATATTGAAATGTCGTCAGTTGTTTCATCAGTACTTTGTCGATATGTATGCAAAAATTGAAACAACGTTAGCTGTTCCTCCGATTGAATCAGAAGAAACTTCGGTCCGAGGAATATATACATTTGCGGGATGCTGTGATGAATGACCGTAATACAACCAACGTTGGAAAGCTCACGATTTTGCCATCCTCATACATAGGTAGTCCGAGCCACATGCATGAATATGCTCAAGATGCCCAGGCATATGTTCGTTGCTACGGCCGTCCAGACTTATTTATCACCTTCACATGCAATCCAGCTTGGGACGAGATAGTTCAGCTGTTATTTCCTGGACAATCATATAGGGATAGGCATGACATCACAGCCCGTGTTTTTAGACAAAAGCTCAAGTCACTGATGGATTTCATTGTGAAACATGGAGTTTTTGGATCTGTGCGGTGCTGGATGTATTCAGTAGAATGGCAGAAGAGAGGATTGCCGCATGCGCACATACTGATTTGGCTGCATGATAAAATTACTCCAGACGAAATTGACAATGTGATATGAGCTGAGATTCCACGGGCAGAGGTTGATACAGATTTGCATGCAGTTGTCATCAAGAACATGATCCATGGCCCATGTGGTACCCTCAACCGAAGTTCACCATGCATGGTAGACGGGAAGTGTTCCAAGCGATATCCTCGAGCATTTACAGCCAACACCGTAACAGGGGACGATGGATATCCTCTGTATAGGAGACGGTCAACTGAAGATGGAGGGACTTCGGCAACTTTAAACATGAGAATTGGTGATATTGAGGTAGACAATCGTTGGGTGGTTCCATACTCAACACTATTGTCAAAATCATACAAGCGCACATCAACGTAGAATATTGCAATTCCGTGAAATCGATTAAATATATCTGCAAGTACGTGAATAAAGGCAGCGATATGGCAGCTTTTGGTGTTCAGGCAGTAAATGGTGACAACAATGCAGTACGAGTTCTCGATGAAATATCTCAATACCAGGCTGGAAGATACAAAAGCAGCAACGAGGTTGCATGGAGAATTTGTTCGTTCCCCATTCATGAACGCTATCCAGCTTTAGTTCACTTGGCAGTCCATTTGGAGAATGGTCAACGTATCTATTTCACAGAAAGAAATGTGCAAGAAAGAGTCCTGAATCCGCCAGCGACAACTCTGACTGCCTTCTTCACCTTATGCCAGGAAGATGATTTTGCCGGAACATTGATGTATTCAGAAGTGCCCTCTTAACCACAATATGCCACAGAGAAACGTGGCAGGGTACAGCTAGTTATATATATTTTTGTTAAAAATAATGAAGTAATGTAAATAGGGTATTTTCTTAACTGTTTTTCATTCACAGTTTTTCATTTTCTTATGTATCTAACGATCGTTTGTATGGCAGCTATATGATATAGTCGTCCGATTATTATATAACTAAAATGAAAGTTCTAGAATTATAAAAAAGGCTATATCTCAAATCTGTTGAAAACTGAAATGTTATAATTTTTAATTGTATTAATTTTTCGATCGTTCCTACTGCAGCTTTATGATATAGTTGTCCGATATTCATAAAATTGTACACATAATTGTAGAATAATATAAAATGGATATATCTCAAATTTGATCAAATTCAGTTGAAAACTGAAAATGTTATATTATTTTTCGTACAATTGTTCCGATCGTTCCTATGGCAGCTATATGACATAGTCGATCCGGCCCGTTCCGACATATGTATATACGAGTGAGAGTACTACAAAGTTTCATTTAGATAGCTTGAAAACTAAGAGACTAGTTTGTGTAGAAACGGACAGACGAACTGAGGTGACTCCTTCACTGCGTTGAAATCTTCTGACTGAAATTATAATACCCTGCAAGGGTATAATAAAGAGTAAAAATTTTGCCCACCTTAGGGAAAAATAAAAAAACAATTAAGAGTTTGTTCTTTTAAATACTTTATTATAAAACTAAGCGAAATTCAAATCGTTTCTTTGTATTTTTACAGAAAATTATTCATATACCAATCAAGTTTAAAAGTTAATCATAAAATTCAAGAAGTGTATATAGAATATCCATGATTTTGATTCATATGCTTAATTACAATAAATAAGAATAACGACAATTAGAAATGAAATCTTTCACGTTATATGCATATCTCATTAAGTATGTATATAGTATGTATATAATAATATGTACTTATGTTAGTGTGTTGCGTGTGTATGGGTATTTTTGTATATAACTTTAGGTACATTGGATACGTCGTTAGGTATTCTATGTGGGCTGGGGCGTGTGAAACTGATAGATAGTACATAGAAACTTCAGAATTAGAAGGCATCGAATGCTCGGGCGCGAAATAAGAAGACGTCAGCATTGGTTGAAATTAATGTACAACTTTGTTTTGTCTGTAAATATATCTATGTAGGCAATATACAATTTCAAAATTTTAACAACGTTCAAAGAACTTTTTTTTGTTTTTTTTTTTGTCCTATATAATTTTCAAACACACAATAAATCGTAATTGCATTTTGAATTTGACTTTGACTTGGCATAAAACTGTAGAGAGCTTAGCTTTAACGTCGGTTTTTCAAACATGTAGAATATATCGTATATAAAAAACGTTAAAATCGGAGTCAAAAAGCAATGCAAAGACATTCAAAAAAGTTCGTACTTATATTGAAGCGATTAATTAACACTAATCTGAAACGTTTTGCATTTGACTTTGTTCTCAACATGGATATATCTATGTACTGTATATGCATATGTGAACATACGAATTACGCGTCTGTAGTTAGTGTCTATATATTACTAGTACAACAACAACAATCAATTTGTCGCAATAGCAACAAGAACAAGAACAACAACATTCGCCAGCCTTAACTCCAAATGCCCAAGTGCTCCCCTAGACGCAGCTGAACTTGAACTCGTCGCTGGAGTAGCAGTTCTGGCAGTGCAGCTTGTGGTTCCGCACCCGGACGTCGGTTCCGTTGAGGCCATCGCCCAGCTGGACATGGCAGACGCAGCACTTGAAGCAGTTGATATGGTAGAACAGCAGCAGTGATTCGATGATCATGGCAGCACCGCGACCTGTCAAAAGTAAATAATCCACATTTATTAAATACTATAACATGTACATAGTTCAGGTGGATCGATTTGCTTAGAAGGAAGAATCCAGAAACTAAATTGCTCGAACAATAAATAGGTTTTTTATAATTAATTAAGATTTGCATTGCAGTGCAAACTGACAATGCATTCATAAGTTTAACATTGTTAATGCTAACCAAAGCTAAAACAAAAATCGATCCACAATTATAATATACCTTAATTCTTTAGATTTGTCATAGTTATAAGTATTCATTTATCCTTATCAAGTCTTTGTTAATTATAAATATAGTTTAAAAATTGGTTAATCACACCCAAACAATATATTTGAGCGCTTTGTGCACTTGTCGACAGTTGTCGTGGGTGCAGCCCAGATCTGTCACAGACATGTACGTTGGGATAGAAAGATAGAAGAACCTTTAGATTATAGGGAATCCAGAAGCAATAGAAGGAGGAGAAGGTGGAGGGATCCTTTTAATGATCAACACTTGAGATACCAAATTATGAGGCTAGTGAGTTCAGAGTGTGTGTTATTCTTGTGATTCACGCTTTTAGAAACAAGCCTATTAATGTTACCAAGAATGCTTGATGAGAGTCGGGGGTGACTGGAGATAGAAGAATAACCACAACACTCACAACCAACGTAGTAGCAAAGTTTACCTAGTTCGTCCCCGCAATGGGAGCACTTCTTTTTGCCACTGACGCTGAGCACCTTCTCCTGGCTGCCATTGTTGTTATTGTTGATGTTGTTACTGCTATTGTTGGTCTTTTGCTGATGCTGATGCTGCTGCTGCTGCTGCGGTTGCTGCTGATAGCCGGTGTTGGTATTGCCATTAACCTGGCTATAGTTTCCATTCCCATCGAAACTGTTGGGAGAAGGAAAATGTATTTTTTATTTTTTTACATTTTACGCAATTGATATTAAGAAATCAATTGTGCCTTAAAATAAGACAGTCTATCTTAATATTTCATAAATAAATCTCTTAAGGCAAGATTGTCTCAACCTTACCGTTTGCGTTCACCGATGCCCTTGCTCTGAACGCGTTCCGTCAGCGTCTGGATGATGGAATCGGGCAAGGGCTTTCCGTTCGACTTGCTGGCGGGCATCGATCGCCGGTTAAGCTGATCGATGCGCCGCTGCTCCGCCTCCTGCAGGAGCCAGTGGTTGTTGTTGTAGACGGCTCCGCCGTAGTCCGGCATGGACTTGCGCTTCTGCTGCTGGGCGGAGAGCCAGGCCGGATCGTTGGCCAGGTTACTGTCGTAGCTCTTCCGCTGCTGCACCTGCACCCAACCGTCTGTGTATTTGGGCTTGGGCGTGGCACTCAAGGCGAGCAATGTATTCCGCGACATATTGCTCAGGTTCTGGGCCGATTGGTGGTGGTAGGCAGCCGCCGCTGAGGCCTGAACGGGATATCCGGGACCGGAAAGTCTCGGGCCCATGGGAGCCCCGGCGATCTTCACCAGGGAGCCGCCATAAGGAGCTGGCGGCTGCCGCTGCCTCGTACTAACCGCATAGTCGGGCTCCAGGCCGTGACCATTGGCGGCGGCTATGTGCATTGCCCGTAATGGCTTTGTGGGCGGCGTTGGCGGCAACATCAGGCGGTTGGAGAACTCATTCAGATCCGACATGGACTTGCGGTAGTCCGTGTCCATCTGGTGATACGCATAAAGCGCCGCCTTCTGCTGCTGGTGCTGCTGTTGTTGCTGCTGTGGCACGTTGGCGTAGATTTGCTGTGGATGCGTAGGATGCAGTGGCTGCTGGTGGTGCTGCGGTGGCGGCGGCGGCTGGAAGGCGCTCAGCATCCCATTGCCTATGCCCAAGCCATGGTGCAGATCCTGAAGGGATCGGCGGTTGTTCGACATCAGCATCTTCGCCCCGTGCTGCAGTTCCCGACGCGCGAGGTTCTCGCGCAGTAGGAGATTCTCACGCTGCCGCTTCAGTTCCTCCTGCTGTGGTGTAGATACATATATTATGGGTAATCGAAACCAACTCCTTATACTCACCGAAAAGTGCAGGAGTTCCCGCTCCACCCGCAAAACCTCACCCTGCTCCCGTATCTTCTCCTCGATGGACTGCATCTTGGCATTGGCCGTCGCGGTGGCTTCGCTCAGCGATTGAGTGGCCGCCGCGGCCGCCGTTGCCGATTCTGTCCAGGACTCGGCCGAGTTGCCCTTGACAGTCTGGAGCAGAGGTGTCTGCGCAGCCAGCAGTAGGTTCTCGTTCTGGTAAATCACCTCGCCCAGATGCGTGGTAGCCGGCGGCGGAGGCAGCGGTGGCGGAGTGGCCTCCGACTGCGTATCGTTCTCCTCCGAGGAGTTGGTGTAGTGCTCGCTGCTCTGGCGCGAGTGGTTCTCCGAAACGCCCGAGTCGCGGCTGTCGCCTGGAGAGGGATAATGTGGAAAATGCCGGGATTAGATGAGCTCTTGATCTGCGTTTAGAATTTGCTAGCTATAGTCTCTGTTGTGTCTATTTGCTAGGAGACTGTAGGAAGTCTCTAAGTTCTTTTGTTTCAACCTGATAGACCATACTCCGGACAGATGGAAAGGCAGGCTGACGGAATTGATCGTTTTATAGAATCGATGGTGAACAAGTTTTAAATTGATTGTTGATTAAAGAATGAATATATCAAAAGCTTTTCAGGTCTGACGGAGACCAAGGCAAACGATTCTAATTTAGTGGCATCCGTGTGGCAGTTCAACCACCCAATGGGGAAACATTTGAGCCAAAGCTGTGACAGCTCCATGGGCCACGCACACTAAACGGATTATTTATACTTAACCTCGCGGGGGCAGCTGGCGGCCAACCCCTGGCACCTTCTGTGCCCCACCTCCGCCTCCCATCACCTGCCGCCCCATTCTCTGCTTGTGATTTGCTCTGTCTTTCGTTTTTATGCCCTATTGGCTTTTGGTATCGGCTTTCTTCTCCCATTCGACCGCTCAATACTATGCTTAAAAACCATGGTATGGTCTCTCACTCACCCGTGTCCGAGCTGTCGCACAGTCCCGCCTTGATGTACAGCTGCTTCTCCAGTCGACGCTCCTCCTGCAGGAGCTGCGCCATATCCGGCGGCGGGGCCACCGTCAGCTCCAAATAGCTCTCCATGTCATCGAGATCGCCGTCGGTCTCGATGCCGAGGAAGCTGGAGCGCTTGTTCCGCAGCTCCTTCTTGATCCGCTTGGTGGAATTCATCCGCTTGATGGGCGGCGAGGGCTGGGCGGGTTCCAGCAGCTGTCCCTGCAGCTGCCGGCGTGTGCCGTTGGATATGGTCTCGTAGGTGTTATCCGAGGACCAGGTGTCGGTGTTATGTCCCAGACTGCTGCCCAAGCCATCCAGCTCATCGACGCGATTGTCCCGCAGGGGAACTGGCGGCGGACTTTCGGTGGGTGGCGGCGGAGGCTTCTCCTTGGGCGGCTCCATCAGGCCCGCGGGTGGTAACGCCGAACTCTGGCTGATCTCCAGGCCGGAATAGAAGATCTCAATGTTCTCGTAGACGGGAACGGGTCTCAAATGCTTGGGAGCATCGTAGTAGGGCTCCGTGGCCTTGGGCACTTGATAGTAGGGCTCTGCTTCACCCGCCGCCGCTGCTGATGCTGCTGATGATGATGATGCTGATGATGATGATGGTGGTGGCACAATAGTGCCTGTTATGGCTGCTGGTGGTGCTGTTGCCTTTGATGTTGCTGCTGCTCCTCCTGGGTTGTTCTCGCTCTGATTGCTGTTGTTGCTGCTGGTTTGATTAGTGTTTTGATTATTCTCGTTATTGTTGCTGTTGCTGGTTTGCTTATTTGGAATGCTTCTCCTGTGACTCCTCCGCGTCGTCGCCTGGGTCTGTGTGGTTATCGTCATCGTTGCTATCTGTTCATTATCTACTTCGTGCATAGATATAGTCGAGCTGACATTCTCGTAGATGGGCTCTCGTTCCCCCTGCTTCTGTTCGTCGGTTTTATTTGGCATGTCCCCCCCACCCTCGGTGTGTGTTCCCCCTGTTCAGGCTCCGGCTCTGGCTGCCGCTCCTGCTCCTCCTCCTCCTCCTCCTGTTCCTGCTCCTGCTTCTGCTCCTGCTCCTGAGCGTGCTCCGAATCCTGATGCTCCTCCTCCTGCTTCTCTGCCAGTTGCTGCGCCTTGTCCATTGGCCTGGGTGTCGTCTCGCGATCGATTGCCTCGAGCGCCAATTCAAGAGCTTCGTTGATCTGTGGGGCGGGATGAGGTGGGCGTGGCATGGCGAGCGAGCGAGAAAGCATCGTGCGTGACAGAGAGAGAGAAAGAAAAAGAACGCGCATGGTTCGCATGAATTTCAGTTAGTTTACACAAGAAAAAGGCTGGCTTGCAAATCAAAAGGAAAAAAGTCAACTAAAGATAAACAAAATTAAATTAAACAACGAATTTCAATTAAACATTTATTTGGGGGACAGACGAGAACGGAAACGCAAAACAAATTAATTGCTAAAGTGGGGCTTTCAGCGGAATATTTTACAAAACGAACAAAGGTATACGATTCATCCAATGCAGCTGTAAAAGTGACTATCTGGAATCAGGGATTAGGAATACCTACATATATGTACTTATGTGCAATAATAAAACAGATAAGTTAAGCTAATTTCCACGTTATCTCTTGGCAAATATGAAATAAATTGGTATAACTAATGGTTGCAGAACACTTTTCAAGGTAACTAAAAAAGATTTCAATTATTTTCATGAATTATAGTCATATACAGATTCACTTGCACACGATTTCATTCGAAATAGGACCGATAGATTAACTAAATATTAATAAGAGATTCGCTAACCTTATTTGGAAATATGACTTTAAAATGGCAACAATTAAGTAAGCGACTGTGCTGAGCTAGACTGGTGTTCAGAAGGTTAACTGATTCTGCAGTTGCCAAAATTGCGTTTTTAATAATATTCGCAAACTTTGCGAGGAAACCCCGTTGATAAAGAACCTCAATAAATAAATAGCTACGCAAAATGTTATCAGCTGTTTCCGGTTATCAAAAAAGTCTCAAGAGATTCCTAGAAACCCTCGTATAAAGTCCAGGGGAAGCACTTCGGAAAATATGTAAGTATATAAATTGACCGCTCACCACTGCTTTACGATCGAAAGAACGTAGCGAACTGGGGCGCTGCAATCGATTCGATTTATATCTCTAGATAACGCGGATCCGTCTGTCCGTGCATCCCCCGTTGGCGAATTATTTGCACGATTATATTATTATTATTATTGGTATTATTGTTGGGCCCTATAAAGATAACTCGCGGCGGTTGTGCAGGTTATATAGACCGGAATATACGACACTATGTGTTATTGCTAACGAACCTGGCCCGCTGAGGGCTTAGAGAAGACTGAAAACGTAGGCGGCGTTGCGCGGAATCGATCCAAGCTATTCGCTTAGATAAAGACATGGAGGCAAGAATATATGTATATGGGGCGGCAAAAGTGCGGAGACAGCACTCCAGGGTCTGCAGATGGGGGTTGATGGACACGCGACCCCAGGCCCCCAAAGTATGCAGCGCGGCGCTGAATCTGAAACCGGGAAACCCCACTAGGCGGATGGATGGATGACGTTTGGCATTTTAAATAGGTGCTAAGTGGGTAAAACTCGGCTACAACATGCAATGCAACTTAGAACGTAAACACAAACAAGAGTACGGGCTACGAACCAACCAAAAAATAGTAAAGAAACGAAGCAAACAAATAGAACTGAACAAACAGGAACACAAGAGGCACACAGGTCAGGGGATTGAGAGATAGAAAGATATAGAGCCGCTTACCTCGGAAATTGTATACTTGCAACAACTTTTGCTGGCAGTAAGCGTGTAAACTATGCAACTGCATTAATTAAGATAGATAGATCATATTTTACATTATTTAGCCAGCAAACGAGAGCGCAAGGCATGTAAGAGAGACATACGAGTTATGACAGTGGATGGATGAATCAGATCAGATAGCACTATGGTTATGGTAGAAATAAAGCCTTAACTAGGTGTAGCCTTAACCTCTGGCAATGGGTTTTTGGGGATTCCAGGAGGGATAGATGGCCGGGGATTGAATATTTAGACATGGGGAGAGCGATAGGTCCTTCGATTCGTCCTTCTTCGAGTGGCGAAACTAAAATATTATCTACAGATCCATCGCAACCTAATGGCTAGGATCGTACAAATATATATCATTAATTTGTACATTCTACACGTAGAATGCAGACTCGTGTCACGTTAATTCTACAAGGCCCGTCAAGCAGTGCAAGCGTTTGCGTCTCGGATAAGCGTAATTTACACAAGCGGCATGTAGAAAAATGTTGTTTTCTTCCGTTTTTTTTTTTTTTTTGTTTGTTGAAATTGCAGCTCCAAGTTGGTTTCGATTTTAGTTTAGGTTTATTCATAAAATAGCACAACAATTATATCTCATTTGTATTTATATAATATTGTTCCCTCGTTTATAAATTATTTGGTATGCTTTTGAGGTTTTAATGAACTTTTTTTGTGTATTAGCGCGAATCGGGTTCGATCTTCGTGTGTTTTTAGTTCTTTTTTGTGTATGTTTGTGTATAAAATATATAACCATAAAACATATGTTTGACATTTCTCTTTACATAAAATCAAATTTGGTTTTATACATATAAATCGGGTTTAGTATAGATATAATAATATTAGGATAAAGAAAAACTGTAGCTTACGTAGCTTGAGCCCATAACAAAATGTCGAACATAAATCGAATAATAAGAAGTCGATTGGAAAATAAAACAAAAACCAGGGTTAAATAAATATTCCTGTGTAGAAAATAAATTCGATGAACGTTTTCATTCGTTGTTTTCGGTTGCAAAATGTTCAAGTTGTGTTGAATTTTGTGTCTAATTGCATATCAGAGAGCCATAGGGTCATGGGTCATGCAGTCGGTTCTTTTAGTTCAGCGGAGAGATCACACATCGTCACTCCGAGAGAGCAGCCACAGATCCGCCCTTCAGATCTTTCAGATCCCGCGGGGCTTCCTTTCATCCGATGCTTCTACTACTTCGCTAAGGCGGCGGCACCTGCTGCCTCCAGCTTCATGATCTCGTCATCCAGCAAGTCGCTGATCTCCTGGGTCAGCGCCTGCTCCGTGGTGTTCTCCAGGATCTCGTCCGTGGTGATCTTCTTGCGAATCTCAATGTTAACGGGCGCCGGAGTCTTTGGGAGCGGCGGCGGTGCCGGCTCATCCTCCTCCTCGCTGGCCACGTAGAACTTGGAGTTGTCCACCCGGACAAACTCATCGGCATTGACCACATCCACGCCACTCTTGGTGCTGGTGAGCACCACCTTCTTCTCGAGGGTTTCGTTCAGTGTGGGATGCGGCTGCGGCTCCTCGTGATGCCCAAAGTTCCTGCGCAGGAAGTCAAATATGTTTTTGGTCTTCTTTTCCTTGACAGGTGGTGGCGCAGGCGAGGGTGGGTTCTCCCGCAGCGACTTCGGCGAGCTGGGCGGGGATATCTCCTTCACCTTGATCTCCGTCTCCACCACGTGGGTGCGCGCTATCAGCGGCTGCTCCACGGCTTCCGAAGGCGAGGGCGTTGCGGTTGGAGCATAGCCCGCTCGACTTATCGAGTCGGTTCCAGAAGCTGAGATACAGCAGGGTTTGGGTATGGGTATCTTCGATCTGCGACCCAGTAGAGGAGTCGAGGGCTTCGAATCGGTCGCCTCCGGCAGCGAAGTCTTCATCATTTGACTGCTGGCCAAGCGCTCCTCCGCTATGATCTGCTCGCAAGTGTCCATCAAGGCCTTGGAGTGGGCGGCCCGGGCACTACCGATCGGAGAGCTGGGCCTGTTCGTGATCACGGAATTCTTGCTGGATCTATCACACCGCTTCACCTCCTCCTCGCTGATGTCCTGGAAGCCAGTGGCCGGCACTGGGGACTTTTTCACATCGATGCTGTCGCAGACCGGCTCCTGAGCCGGGGCCAGACAGTCGAGTAGTCCGGCACACAAGGCGATGTCCTCCTGGCTGGGCTCCTCCTCCAGCTGCTGCCGCTCTTCCCTGGCCACCTGGGACTCCTTCTTACCGTCGCACTTCTTTACCAGGTCTTCGGTGACACTCTGGTAGCCCGTGCTGGGCAGTGGTGATTTGGTCACATCGATTCTATCACAGGGCGTCTCCTTAACAGCCAGCTGCTCCAGTCTCTTAAGATCCTCTTCTGTCATCTGGAGGTCCTTGGGTGCCTCTCTGTCCAGGAACTGCTGGCACAGGGCAATCTCCACAGAGGGCGAAGTGGGACGCGATGAAGCCATCTTAAAAAGACTGGACTCGTTCGGGGAACAGGCCTTTAAGGCCGGCATTTCACATGGTGAAGATGTGTGCAGGTACAGTGAATCGTTGGGTGCGAGAGGATCCAGCGGTCTGGTGGCCTGAGGCGGATTCACCTTCTTCGGAGGAGAGTGTACTATCGCCTTGGTCTGACACACCACTGGAGCATAGTCCCCGGAGCTGCGATCCACCACGTCCAGCGAGGGCAGCTCTATCTGAGCTCGTTTCAAGGGCTTCGGAGAAGCTGGTGGTGTGATCTGGGGAATGCGGCTCCTGGGCAGAGGCTTGGGTGACATTACGGGCGAGGTAATCGGGGTGGAATCACCCTGGCTGAAGCAGTTGGACAGGGCCTTCACCGTGTTGGGTTTCGGCAGTTCATCGGGATGAACGATGGTCATGGGGGGCGCACACATCACAACCTCCGGCGGAGGAATTGCCACCTCCTTGGCAGTTGGCTGCTCAATCCTTACCGTCCTCTTCGGAGGAGCTGGTGGCGTTGGTGGCTTGTCCAGCTGCCTTGAGTTGAAAATCTCCACGCGACCATTGATGCTAAATTGCTGGGGCGTGGACCCGGAGCCCGAGGGCGAACTAACAGGGATAATCTGAGCGGCCCTGGGACTCGAGGCCAATCTCACCGACTTTGGAGACATGGGCGGCTTGCCCAGGGGACGCGGTATTTGGGTGGGAATCGGGCTCGAGGGTGCTGGTATTGGTTGTGGCTGTGGTTGTGGTATGGATATAGGTGGTGAAGGTGCCGGGGGACTGATCTGCTGGGTCGGTAACTGCTTGGTGAAGTCAAAGATCTGGGTAAACTGACCGGGTGACGTGACCGGCTCCCCGACCTCTTTCAGATCGTCGTCGTTTTGAAAGGTTTCCTTGAACATTTTAAGCAAGTTGCGATGATGGACCATTTCATTGGAGGGCTTTCTACGCAAGTTACAATTGGGATTCGGATTTGGATTGGGATTGGGTTTGGGATTGGGTGTGGGAGTGGGACCAGATTTGGACACCGACACCGCTGAAGCAGCTACTACATCATCACAAGGACTTATCTTAGCGGATTCGATAAAATTGTTAGTAGAACTTACACTAAATTCCATGTCCCGCAATGGAGGAGCTGCCGCCTGATTGGCCGCTTGAATTGGAGCTGGAGCAGCTGACGACGATGACGGTGATGATGACGAGGGCTGGACCGAGGGTCGAGCCGGTGACGGCGGCAATGGCGATGGATTCAGATCGGTCAGCTCGTCGAACTCTGCCTCGATCTGGTTGACCGCATTAGCAGCCTCCTCCAACTGACGCTCCTCGAGGGCCAAGGCGGCGATGGCTGCGTTGAGTTGCTGCTGCTGCTGCTGCAGCTCCTCACTGGTGTCCTCCTGGATGCCGCTGTCATCGTTGGCGGATGCTGCTGGTGGCTCCTCTATGATCAGAGCTGGTGGAGCTGCCGCCGGTGGAGTGACCACCGTTGTCTGGTGCTGGGCAAGACGCTGCTCCTTTTTCTGGTGCTGTTGCTGTTGCTGCTGCTGCTGCTGACGCATGCGTTCTTCCTCTCCTCTCATGATCTCCAGCTGGCGGGCATCGATGAGGGCCACCAGCGGCGGTTTCTTCTGCTCCTCTTTGGTAACGGACTGCTGCAGGCTGTTCAAGCGCTGCTTAAGTGGCGGCACCGGTACATCCACACTCTTGCTGGAATTGAAGGCGTTGCGCTGCTGCTCGAGACTCTGCATCCGATCCCGAATGCTGGAGATGTCGCCCGAGAGACGCTTTACCTCCGGCTTGAAGCCAGCCGGAGCTCCACTGTTGCCATTCGTCAGGCGATCCCGCAGGACCACTTTGGGAGCAGCGGACGCAGCTCCGTTGGAGCTGCTCGTCTTGGCCTGCTCGAAGATTTCCTTGCGCTTCGAGATGTCCACCTTGGGCACATCCACTTTCTGTTTCTCGACGCCCTCCTGCGTGTCGCTGGGCGAGGTCACCTCGAAGCCGCTCAGACGGTCCTCGATCTTCGAGCCGCGCCTGGTGGGATATGCGATCGGTTCGCCGTTCACCTTGCCGTTGGCACTGGCGTTGCCATTGCTGCTGGCCCTCTGGACCCGCTGCTTGTAGTCCTGGATCGCTCCCTCGTAGGTGTATTCGCACGGATCTGGAGAGCTGGCTGGTGCCGTGCTGGAGGATGTGTCGTATCCCGGCGAGGAGATGTACTCCCTTCCCGCTGCCTTGGAGGCGTTCGATGTGCTCGCCTGGCCAATGGCCACTCCGTTGCCGTGGTTCCCATTGCTGCCGTTGCGGTTGATGTGATTCTGTTGCTCGTCCACATTGCGGGATGCTGCTCCTGCAGCGCCAGAGCCAGCGGCGCCAATGGCCTTGTCCAGCTCGGCGGCATTGTCACTCTGCGAAAGGAACCAAGATGAAGATTAGATCGCAATATTTGGAGTAATTAATAAAAGTGAATAACTGATGATATATTCTAATTGTATTTCTATACAATGATTATTTCTTATGTTTATTGGGCTCTACAAGCCAAGTCCAGTTTTGTTTTAACCATTTACCACTCTGTCTGCCGCCGTTTTTTCTCGCAACAGGTCACAATGATTTGGCCTTTCTCAAGATTTGTCTGCCTTCCGTTTAACTTTCATTTTCCCCCAGTAAATTTCCCTTTCTTGACTGAGATTCTTGCCGATCTCTTGACACTAAAACCCATTCCTAGGGGTCCCGTGATGCCGTGAACTAACATAAATTTTCCACATTTTACGGCACTACATTTTACGGCCTGGCGACAAGCGCGTCTAATTGCTCAATCCGCAGCTCAATCTTTCGCTCAATTTCAATTTCAATCCCAATCTCCGTTGCTTGCCGCTCATTGTTTATTATTTATGATTATGATTTTATTGTGGCGGTGCTGGTGCGCGCATTCGATTAATAAACCATTTGTGTTTATTAGCCCGCGTCGCATCGCTTTGCTGCCAGCCAACACTTTCCAACGAGGCTTCATTGCATTGGCCACTTGAAAGCATCGGCTGAGGCTTTGGATTTAGCGGCGAAACGATGGTAAATTAGATTTAATTGTTAATTTGTTGTAATTGCTTATAAACGTCGCGACAAGCGCTCATGAACCAAAATGGCCAAGAAATGGACTGAGAGTGGAAATCGTGCTAATGATCATGGGTGTTACATTGACCCCCATTCCGCGGGTGCTCTTTGCTCGTACTCACCATAACACTATTATTGTCGTAATCCTCGGACAGGCTGCTCTTGCCGCTGGCACTGCTCGTCCCGATCCCCAGGTCGCTCAGATCATTCGTTTCATCCTCGTTGTAGACGGCCAGGGAAGCCAGTTTGGCACGGCCCCGAGGTCCTCCCCTTTCGGCCCTGTTAAAGGATGTGCATTGAGTTAGATAAGTGGTTAAAAACACAAGGAAAGCCACAGGACTAAATAGAGAATATTGTTTCTAATTTGGCTGCAATAGTTTCAATGACTCTTCTTTAAGGGATAGATATATCTATCTTCACTCGGACGAAATTTGGGAGTTGTACTTGCCTCTCCTCCATCATTTCGGTGAATGTCTTCGATTTCCGACGCATGCGATCATGCTCCTCCAGCTCGAGCTTCTTCGTCTCCACCACACGATCGATGATGTGTTCGACACGTTTTCGCCTTGACGATTTCCAATTGTCAAGGTTCTGTTTTTGTCAATTCGCCGGTTATTATTTAGTGTTTGTTGTTTGTCACCGGTTCGCATTGTGGGTCGTGTTTTGTTTTGGGGGCAGAAAAAGGTAGCGAAAGTTAGTATAGAAAACATCGAATGGCCAGACGTGTAAGTGTAAAAATTGTCGCTATATTATTCGCATTGTGGAAGTGGAGAGCAAAAGTTTCTTTTGATGGCAATTAAAAAGTTTTGACGAGACGAGACGCGACTCGGCTCCGGAACTACGTGACAAAGGTGAAATGTTTCCAAGGCGCGTGAACTTCGCTCGGTTTCGACTGCTCGACTTCCATCAAAAAATTCGGATTACATTTCGAATGACTCAGAGAGATGTGCGATTGTTCAGATGGGAATTGGAGATTTTACTATTATCTTTGCTGAATTCTTTTGATAATTTCATTAATAAACCCGACCGACTGACGTCTGCTGTGTTATTAATCATATCGGGGTTCTTTTATTTCCTCGTTTGCTTAACAGTTGTGAGAGCTTCCGGTAACTTCATTTGTTTTATCGATTTGCGATTCTAAATAAAAATGAATTCTTCCCCATTGGGTGATTAACAATCTCTCGCACTGGCGGCCAAATAAAAACAGAAGAAAGCCATTTACACATTTTAAGACAATGAAACCGACAATTTCGACTTCCTTTCCCATCGCAAAGACTCAGTCACCCAGTTTGAAAACGCTCAACGCATTTTAAGAGGGTTTTTTGGCTTTTGTTTTGTTAGTTATGTCTGGGAACATATGAAATTGCGATAGACATTGGTCGAACAAATCGACCAAAGCCACTTCAAATGCAACGACTGCATCGCAATTGCTGATTAGGTAATGAGTTGGGAGGTACAGTCACGTCAAAGGCAGCATTTCGCCGGGGTTATGGCAGCGGCAAATTTGCATGTAACACACACACAGCACATACAAATAGAAGTGGGGGGAAATAAAAACTATCAACAAAATGTAATAGTTGTGATTATGCAATGCAATATCTTTCTTTTTTTGTTTTTTTGTCCGCCAACGGAGCAACGTGCACTGGAAACTGGAGCGGCCACAACGAGGAGTGTGCCATGTGCCATACCCAAGTGGTTTCGCTTTAGTTTAGGCCGCGGCGATAACTTTTCCAGAGGCCAGTGAAAACAAACAGGAAAGGAAGGCAAACCCAGGTTTGTAGGTAGGAGATTGCAATACCCTCTTTAGCCGAACTATGATGGAGGTTCTGACCTCTTTTTAAACAAATTAAAGTTCTTTCGAGGAGTTCCATGCTCCTTACAACTTACAGGACTATCAAAGCGAAGGCTTTGATCTAGACATTTGATGCCCGACTCTTCTCTAGGGTAAGTATTTAAAGAAATATTAAAAAGGGAAACTTTTATGCACTCTGAAGTGAAGTAAGGACTAGTAAACATTGTCAGGTTCAAGCAAAGGATGCCAAGGTAAAGGGCTTTCCCTGCAAACTTCTTCCATCTCATGATATTGTTATTACTTTAGACCCTACCATATATAAGAACTCTACGTTATAACACTTCATATAGGGTATACAAATACCACATCTAACCATTTTGAAATTTGTCACGACTTTGTGATCGAGTGGGAGTTTCTCTCTTGGATCGGTGTGATATATGATCCGGACTTACGTTCTGCCACTCCTCGGGCTCCTCCTTCTTCACCTCCTTCAACTTCTTGACCTCCTCGGCTTTCTTCAGCTGCTGCTGAGCGGTCTGGTATAGGTTGCAGGGCTTGATCTGGACGAACTGCATCGGATTCTTCGAAGGGGCTGGCGGCGTGGGACGCGTCACTCGCGCCTTGGCCACGTACGATGTGGGATCTGGCGAGGTTGCGGTCTGCAATTAACGATAAATGCAATAAAATTTGTAATTAGCATGAATTGCTTTCAATTGAATGGAGTTGCCTGCCTGGACCAGAGGGGAATCAAGATCGAGATCGAGAGTCAAATGCAAATGTCAGCAGTCCGATGTCCAGGGTGTGGAGTCATTGTTATTGCTTCCATATTTACCAAGTGTGTGGGCAGCCTGTGCCTATATATGTGCTCTTAAATCCTATTAAGTATTTTGCTTATTAAGCTGGCAGGCGAACTGCTGCTGCGGTTGTTGCCTTGAACCGCCTTTAATTGCATAAAATATTCAGCGACGACTTATATGGACATTCTGATTGGCTAAATACGCCAGCCGAGCCAAGGAAAACCTTGAGTCCTTAAGTGATTTGTTTTGGCGAAATATATTTACAATCTTCGAAAGTTTATGTAAGCTCGGGCGATGAGTCAGTTTTAGTTGCGAGAAGTTTACAAAAAGTGACCGATTTATACTATTTTACGCCAGGTGTTTGATTTACTGCTCTCTAGACTGGAACCCACAGCTATTGGGTTAGCTCGAACTTGGAATAGGTTCAAGTGTTTATTCCACTCTCTTTTTAAAACCTTCTAAACAGTCTACGAGGGGCTTTCAAAATTCTATGTTCTTTTTCTGTTTTATTACTTTCTGCTTTCATCTATTGTGTGCTTTTACTTTTTAACTGTTGGCCTCAGAGGTTTCAGCCGTATTTCAAGTGCTTTGACCCACCAACCCACCCACTTACATACGTACACATGTACCTAAGGTGTGTAAGTATCAGTATGCATTTCAGTAAGTCGTCTCCAGAGTGGCAAAAGTAAAGCGGGGCTTTACTCCATAATTCATTGTCCGCAAATAGTACTTCCTTCAACAAAAAAACCTTCTGGAATCCAGAACTCAGCAGTGAAAGCCCAAGGCCTAAGAATGTTCTTACGGGAAAAACAGACCCTCAATTGGTTGCTTCATCTTCTCTAAATTCTAAGCCTTTGATTGGCAATATATCACCAATAACCAATATAAAAACAAGATGAGTAACGCCTTAGGACCATACTGTTCCAATCGATTTTATGCTCAGGGTTTTAACTCACCGATTTCTTGCCGCAACCATTTGTGTCACCTCCATTTGTGGACGTGGCCGAGGTGGACATGAGGTCTTCGCTGCCCTCCAGCATGACATCCTGTTCGGTGGCCTCCATTCTGGTGCCGAGTGCTACTGCAACCTGTCCCTGGGCAACTGTCGCCTGGCGCTCTCCGTTCTCCGTAACTCTGCTTTCCGTTTGGGGTTCTTGTGTGCTTCGGACTGAGATGAGGTGAGAGATGGGCTCTGCTCACATGGCAGCGGACTCCTACGCGGGTTCTTCGGCCCCTGGTCACTGGCTCAGCATGTCTCCGTGCTCGAGAATTGGTTCCGACTCAGAGGCGATGCGCCACCACCCACGCACATCGGGCGGGGGCCACGGAGGTGTCCGATTTCATTAGCTGCAAGATAAGAGAAACACCTCATTGAGTACCTCGGACGCATAATATTAAAAAGCTGTTTGGAACTTGAGTGCCGGATTCACCTGGCAGGCATTAACCCCGTCCCAACCCCGAAGAGCGGTGGGCAGGTGTCAGCTGAGCCAGTTTCTGGCATGGCAGATCCGTGAAGGATCTGGGGAAAAGCCTCTGGCATTTCCTCAACTGGCAGCTGAACAATGCTCGAAAAGTACAGCGGGGAGTTCAATTAACATTCATCAAAGTGCATCCATAAGATGCTTTATCTAATTGTGCAACTTGTGTCTGAGTGGATGAGGCTCTGGCTCTGACTCTGTCGAGCTCTAGCTCTGGCTGCCGCATCCACTTGCCTGGGACCCACACGTTGGTATGCGGGTCAATCTTATAAACTTCTGCCACAGTCATCGCCGTCATCGTGCACATCTTACATCTTACATCCATCCCCATCTCCAGCTCCACATAGTCATCCGCATCGTTCGTCATTCATCTGTCTGCCTACGACTCTTCCCATTCCGTATGTTTTTCTATCACTCCTGCCCTCCACCATTCACTCCATGTGACCCGGTATTTTTTGATCGTTTTGCTACGCTTTTCATTCCCTCCTACTAATTAATAACTATTAAGTATTCTGCCGTGCTTCCCCATCTTGTAATCGAGCTTGTTTATTAATTTTTGTGAATGCATCGCCGCATGCCTAGAAAGTGGGTTCAAAAGGTTGCGGGAAACGCGGGTTACTGCCGTCGGGAGGAGACCGGTATCTGTCGTAATTATGAGCTTAATATGACAGCTGATAAGTATTAGGTATACTTCCATGGCTTCCTGTATTATGGAAAGCAAACAACAAGTTGAAACTGAAGCTGATCATTAGAAAAGAGTTCTCCGGAGTCTTTACAGTTTTCCATTAGTGAAAAGGTAAAGACTCATACATTCATTCAAATTTCTACAGATGGAGTTGATAGTAAAGTTCAGGAAATACCTAGTTTAAGGGAAATTCTTTTGATAATCTTCTTAAGGTGGAATTTACTTTAAGAGATTCCTTCATCAAACTTGAATTATCAACCGCTAACTCGCCTGAATTGCTGCAGTGATCATGATTACACATTTAGATCTCTCTTTCGCACACACTCGCACGTCAAATTTGATCAACACACATGCCAGCGTTTTTCAACACTCACGTCGTGTGAGTGGAGAAGACAGCCACTCGAGACTCATAGAAGACTTGTCAGCGCTGAAGACTCAAGAAGGCACGAGGCTAATCAACATGGGCTGTGATCTCCGATGTTAAGCACTCGACGTTGTTGATGTTGCAGATTTGCTAATTTGCATATAAAATGCAGCGAACAACAAACAACGCAGGCATTAGATCCAGCAGATAACTTCCACTGAGAGCCAGCAACAATTAAAGCAAAACTTTCAAATTGTAATAATTAACTATGTGCCCCGAGGTTTTAACCCACTGCAACTGCTGGAAAGACTATGCACGGTGAGAAAATGGTGGAAGTTTTACTGGATCAATTTGATAAAATCAAACTAGAAGTCTATACTTAAACTCCAACCTTCCTTTAACAAATTTAACAAAAATAAATTTTTAGTAAAACAAAAAAAGTATTTAAAACCTTGGTAGATATGGTTTTGTTGCCAAGTTTTCTTCGTTATAGCAGAGTAATTCTCCTTTATTTTCTTTTAGTGTTTTTAGCTAATCTAACGACAAAAAACACGGCGACAACAAGGCAACAACTTCAATGGATAACTTTAATGACCGGCCAACGACGTCAGCAGAAAATTGCAATAATTTAAATTAAACAGAAAGCCAAAGCCTGGCTTTACCTTTTACATAAAAACAAAACCCACCGACTTTCCCAAGCGTGGCTACGTATATATATGCTTGCCCCCGAGTCTCGACGCATTAGCAATAATTATTAAGCGAGCAAAATGATAATTAGATAAAATGGCTCGGAAAAAATCGGCGTCGCAGCTTATCTCAATGGCGCCAATCGAGACCAGACGCGAGCCAAGATCGGGACTCAAGTCGAGGCGGTAACATTAGATGGATATATCTATCTAGGCAGTAACCCCAGTCCCCGTTTTGTCGGCTTTCAGCTATAAATTGTATCAAGATGTGTTTCGTAAAGGCCCAGGCGCTGAATTAATTGATGAAATGGCGACTATGATGATGATGGCGGAGTCTCCAGAACTCGAGAAGAGTGAAAGATATTTGTGGGGATGGGGAATTCTTTGAGTAAATGCCTCGCAATTGTCTTTGCCGTTGACTTTGGGTCTGTGTTTTAGCTAATTAGCAGCAGCAGCAGCGGTTAGAGCCACTTCAAAGCAACGATTGCCGCCGTCGAAGAAGAAAAGCCCCGAGTCAACGGATCTGTACAGAGTTGTGTTTCATCAGCAAACAAGGGCACGGCTTTGAGGGATCTTTGTCAGCAAGACTCTATATATATTTCTTAAAAACTAAGAATTAAAATGTACAAATTGAATAAAGGAACTATTAGTGACAGTCACTAAAAATTTGGTGTCTTTTTTGCTGGTTTAAGAAGACCTCTGAGTCTACCTTGACACCTCTTGCCTAATCTAAGCATATTGATGGAACTCAAGCTAATAATAATTAGTGGTTTTTAAACTTTTACTTAAGCCCAGCAAAACAGAGCTTAAGTGTTTGCAAATATTTTTGTACATCTTAAACTATTATTATGAGTTCGTTCCTTGGCCCCATCTCGAGATGAGATCTTGGTGGATCAGCATATTACAGGCACTCTATCACAACAAGAAGCTTCTCTGCTCGGCGTGTTTGCCAGCGTCTAATGCGAAAACAAACAAACAGATATCTGTGGCTCTGGAAGAGAAGAGCATTGTGTGCTTGTTACTGACAAACAATAAGCAGACCGCTCTGTAAAAGCAAAATATCTAATTAAATATTTATCAGGGATTTCGATCTAAAGAGGGGCAAACGTATTAGCTTATCAGGCGAGTGAAATCTAGATTATGCCAGAACAATGGGCCGGGCCTGTGTGTTTCTTGTCCCGGAGTCCGCAGGGAAAGCAAATAATAACTGTAGGTACTTAGATAAGCGACTCTACGCTAATGATCTGCCGAGCGGAGCGATCGCATTAAAATGGACCCGGCGACACTTTCCAGTAACCGCGATTCGGTAACCAAAGCAAAAGTGGAGCAACGCGCACAGCTGACCAGCTGGAAAGTGGCATTGTAATAAATGATTAACGTGACTTTAACTTTAAAGTTGTGTTTCAGCCGAACGCGGCGACCATGCTCGCTCGTTGAAAAGTGTGAAAATGAAAAACCACAGCGGAGTGGGTGGAGTGGGTCGTCGCTGGAAAATCACCGGTGGACACATGGAGAAGGAGGTGGGATAGTGGATAGTGGGTTACTCTGTACTGGGTACTGGGTACTGGGTGGCGGAGACGAGATGGTGTCAAGCTCCGTTAGCTGCCGGCCAGTGACACTAATGACATTCAAATTGTTGCGCCAAAAGAAGCCATAAAAACAAAGCAAGAAAACCCGAAGAAAACAAATCAAAGCGCGAACCGAGAAAGTGGTCGCAGCACTGAGAAAAATGCATTTAAAATCGATCAATCAGACTACTTTAAAAATGTGTTTCAAGCTCTTCAAAGATGATGCTGTATCCAAATATGTTAGCAATTTCAACTGTATTCAAAATATTATAAAACTGCTTTTTAGAATGAATACATTTGGTAAGGAAATCTAATAAAATGTAGACTTAAACCTTGCAAAATATATATAATATTGTGCTTAACGATTCATATATATAATATTGTGCTCAACGATTCAACCTAGATCTGGTTTATTATCTTGGGTCTAACTTTCCTCTTAAGAGTCACATTTTTCTCAGTGTAGATCCAAGTTCCCGTTTCAATCTGCATTCCCCGAACCCGAATCCGATTCGCTATCCGAATCCCGAGCTCGAGGCGTGGAATTGAAAGTGTCGCCGTTTGTTTTGTGGTCGCTGATGTGCAGCCATCACTCACGAAGCCAAACCCACCAACCCACCAATCCCCCAAGCCACCTCCCATCAGCACCACCAGCACCACCACCACCCCCTACGGTGGGGTTGTGGGCTGGCTCATAAATCGAGACGACGGCCGTTTCGTGCGCTTCAATGAATGCTTTTCTTCGTGGCCACAAGTTACGTGCATCCGCGAGATATCAGGCACATTAGGCGACAGGCCGGGCCAAAACATATGTACATACATCCATGAAAACCATACATCCGCGGGCATTTCAATTCACTGCTCGTTTTCACTCTCCCGGAGGTTGTGTAATGACAGAAGAAGAGGGGTCAAGAGATGTCAGTCGATGAATTACTCGCAAGTGTCAACGAAATGGAAGTGCTTAAGAGATCTTTAGAACAACAAATGTTTCCATTTAAATCTGCATTTAACTATTAAAATAACAGATAATTTGATTTATAAAGGTAATTTAATTTAATTTCAAGTGCATCGTGTGCAAATCGATGGATATTTTTGGCTCAACATTGAAATCGAAGCAAACATTGCTGGCGAAATGGAAAAACAGAAAAGTATTTGTATAGATTCCGTGATAAAATGATTGAAATGTACAAAATGCATATTGGAAATCTATTTTTACCCTTTTGTTAGAGCCACGACTCTTTTTTTCTTCAGCTTGGCCCACTCATTTTTCGATTGCAATAATTGAAATATCTTTCAAGCGTGGCCAGAAAACAACAAAATGGAAAGCAAAGTGTGAAGTGAAGTCTCGAATGGGTTTTCAGTTCGAGTTGAAGTTTTGGTCTTTGGTCTTGGTCTTGGTCTTGGTCTCGGTCTTTGTCTTTCGCCTTTCCAATCTCGGAATGTTAGTGGTATATCATTGTACATAGCTGGGCAATTATCACGCTGCCGCGATCAGAAAACATACCCAGCGCGAACTGTTCGACAATTGGACACGCAAAATTTTCAGTTCATTAACATTTCAATATCGATAAGACCGAAATGCACTTTCGCTCCAACGAGATACAATCTGCGGCAATTGAAAAAACGGTGCGAGTACATTTCGTATCTGTATCTGGAAATCGCCATCTGAATCTGTGAGTTACTGCGCAGCAGCAGCAGCTTATGTTAATAATAGTTATTGACTTATCGTGGCACATTCTTCTTGCGCTGAGTTGCAATTTGTAGCTGTTTGCCAGTGACATGCATGTCTCTATCTCTGCCAGTGCACACTTGGAAAATGTATAACTGAAAGTAACCATTTTGATACCCTACTCAAACATTAGTTCGTTTCCCAGATTCAATGGGAAACCTCATTAAAGCTAAGGCACACACTTTTCTCGCCGTGCAGAAACTACTGACTGCTCTATCCAACTCTATCCGGAGGCAGAAAAGTTTGCCAAATCAGCAGGAAAATTGCGAAAAATCGAGCAAATGAAAGGAAAACCAACAAAGTGCGGCACTTGCATTCTAGCAGCAATTTGATTTCAATTTCGGAGCATTCGTATCTGTATCGCTCAGATACAGTTGCATGTTAGGCCAACTGCTGCCCGGTTTCGGAAATTGCCAGCAAATTGTTTTGCCATCTGTGTTGTATTTCTATGGCGATTTTGTTTTGCGGACTGTGTGTTTTTCCCTGATCACTGATCTCTGAACTCCGCTCGCTTCATTAGCCCGAAGACAAGACTGGAAACCAAAGCCCCAATGTCAGACAGTCAAATTTCTTCATTAATATTAGCGAATATAATCGCGGTGGGTTATTTAATCAATCCCTCGACCCTCGGCACACGCTCACTTCTCTGCCTGACCCATTTCGAGCTCCAAGAGCTCCAACAAAGTTATTTTATTTGCATTAAAAATGAGTTACATGTTAAAAATTTAAATTCGTACACACCCACCAGAAGTCAGAGAGCCAGAGCCGCGGGACACGCCCCACGGACAGAAAGAACTTACAGCAGAAAAAAGGTTGCCCGAGAACATGCCGAGGTTGAAATTAAAATTGCATACATGGATAACACGGTTTGGATTTATAAATCGACTTTGTTTCAAGGCGTGACGGAATGTTTAATTCGATATGCCAAAGTGAAGAAGCCAGGTGAAAATGAAATAACTTTCAGAAATAATTTGCCACAATTTGGTCATACGTTCCTTCGACCGAGAAAATAATTAGGATGTATGAAATCATGTAATGATATTACTGATTAAAGATACTGTCATCCTGTTTATATAAATATCCCGCATTAGAACTACTAGTGTAGAGATATTACAAATTTCTTTAAATGCAGCATAGAGTATTCCATTTTCATTATTCTATCCCGTGAAAATAATTAGGATGTATGAAATCATGTAATGATATTACTGATTAAAGATCCTGTCATCCTGTTTATATAAATATTCCGCATTAGAACTACTAGTGTAGAGATATTACAAATTTCTTTAAATACAGCATAGAGTATTCCAATTTCATTATTCTACCTTCTGTGCGCTTGTATATTGGCTTTGATCTCTCCACAGTGGGCCAAAAGCAAAACAAACTGACGCATGCGTAGGCCCATTTTTCATTGTTGTTAAGGTTTTGAGGCTAATGTCGTCGTTTGTATGGGGCAAGAGCTCTCCGCATGGCGACTACGACCGAATCCGGTGGCCAGGGTAGCCAGCTGCTCCAAGCCACCAAGTGGACCGAGTTGAAACAAAATGCGGATGCCGTGGCAGCACCACCCCATTGGAGCTGCCGGTGGCTCTGCTGCACATGTGCAGAACACATGCACCATGAAAGCGATGCGAAGTAAACTTATTTTCGTGCGCATCGCTGGCCAGGCAACAGAAGCCATCGCACAGCAATTGTTTGGGGCCATGGTTTTAATGTTGGATCGCTGGGGGTTCTATAAATTGGCTGCCGGGTCCACTGAATGATTTAATTGTTGCCGCCATTCTAATGAATTAGCTGGCTTCTGGCGGTAAAATTAGTTGGGAGTCAGATTTTGAAGGCACTGATATAGTTATTATTACTGGTACAATATAAAAGTTGAATCTAAATTCAGACTAAAATAAAACATTCGAATTAAAAGTAAACAAACTTAGATAAAATCAAATATATATATTTTTTAATAATGATTTAATTTCGATACGCTTAATTTCCGTTGAATGCTAAAAAGCGAATCTATAATGCCAAAAAATATGTATTAAATATCGGTAGGCATCACCAGAACTAGACTAAACTCTGTGTACTCCTGGCTTTTTATAATACTTTGATACAAATTGGATTTTAATTTGTCTTTGTCATCAGTTTCAGCTAATTACAATTACCAAATGATGTATAAAATTGCTTTGTTAAGCAAACCAATACTGTATTAGTTTTGTTGAAATAATCATGAAGTACAGAACCTTAACAAAGGTATTACCACTCCTGGCTTTATTTGTTGTGTTCAAATCTAGCTCCATTGTAAGTAACTATCCTAAGTGTTATTCGCAGTAAATCAGTTGTGCTTTTAGAATGCTTCCAGATTTAAGTTTACCAACTTTGTTTGCGATTCAAGAAATGAATCCTTGCTCTTGGTGCACAAGTGTCGCTTAAAGGCAGTCCGGCGGGACCTAACTACACTGAACTTCAATGGGACTTTACTGAAAACCATTTATAATGTCCGAGTACATGGTCAAATGTTCAAGAGGGCTAATGGCTACAAGCCGTGGCTCTACAACATTACCATAGACGGCTGTCGATTTGTGCGGAAACCCTACGAACCAGTGGTTCTACTGGTTTACAACCTATTCAAATCGTTCTCAAACTTCAATAGGCCATGTCCCTACGACGTAAGACATTCCAAACTTTTAAATTCCTTCAAAACAATTGCATAATTTTACAGGGTCCAGTCTACGTAATGGGATTCCACATCATAGGGGCTCAGATTCCAGTTCCACTTCCCTCTGGTGAATACCTAATTTTAATTAAGTGGTATACCGATAATATACTATTCATTTCCACTGGTGTATATTTTGCATTCGAAGAGAATTGACAATGACAACAACTTTTGTTTTTAAATATACTTGCAAAAAAAAAAACAAAAATAAACCCATGTTATGATGAGCTTAACTCAAGTTTACTTTATAACTTTAGCTTTTATTAACATTTCTAAACATTTTAACTTTAATGAAATGTTTTTTGTAAGAATGCAAATAATAATTTCCAAAGCTTAGTAATCTTAATTATCAATTATTATAAATGATGTTGCACTATTCATGGCCAGAGGTTAAACAAATAAATATATACGTTTTCATAAATAGGGTTTAGTTCTCTTGGAGTTTGGATTTTTGAATTTTCTAAAATTGTATTAAAATTAATTGAGGCAATGAATTGAGAATGTGTCCGGCTCGAAGGACCAATGTTTGTGAGGGAGCCGCTTTTACCGGTAAAAGCACAAAATAAATGGTCATCCGATCGGAAACGTGATTATTTTAATGAGTTTGCTGATCATATACGTTATAAGGTAAAAACGCTTTACTAAAATAGTAAGCAAGCAGTTAGAGCCACGTGCAATAAATAAAATTGGCTTTAAATGTTTGCTTATCTACTACTTGGTAAAAATATAAACCAATTGCAATTAAAGGTAATTTAAATTGTGAATTTAAATACAGAATAGAAGCGATTTAGATATCATGCTTGATTTCATGAATATGAACCAACTACTTTACTCATTGACCATAGACAGATGATTCTGAATTTATTGTTCATAAGATGCGGTTCGCACTTTTTATATGTGTTGTCCTAGGTACATTTTTATCCGAAAGATTGAACGTAAGTTGGACAAAATTTCCTGCTTAAAAACTATACAAAATTTGGACATTTTAGGAAGCGGTAATTTTCAAGTTTACCAACTTTGAATGCGGGACCTATAACGAGTCATGGTTCGTCTTCCACAACTGTCGCCTGAAGGCTGTGGGGCGGAACAAGGTCCTTCTCAACATGAACGGAACCATACTGCATCCGGCGCACCATATTGTAATGCATTATAAGGTTTTTAAAAAAGAAAGTGGTTACAAGCCATGGTTACTGGAGAATCAAATCGATGCATGTCGTTTCATGCGCAATAAAAAGGATCCAGTTGGAAACATCCTCCATAGCCTCTTTAAAGATTTTTCCAACATTAACCATACATGCCCCTACATGGTAATTTTCTTATTTCGTCTTCCATATTTAAACTTTTTAATAGATCCTTTTCTTCTAATAGGGCCCGCAAATTTTGAAGGACTTTTATCTAAGACATGAGCTTCTCATTCTTCCGTTTCCAACCGGTGATTATCTGCTGTCTCTTCGTTGGCACTTTGATAGAAAACTACAATTTGATACAAACGTAAGTTTTGTATTTGTGGAGGACCTTGTAAAACGTCAGCCCTAATGATTCAGGATCATGATGAATTACCCTTTTTTATTAATATTTTACAATTCAAATGTAGTGGTACGCTAAGGTGGTTCAAAATAAAAACATTTATAAGCAAATAAACATGGATGGGAAAAATAAAAAATAAGAAAACAACTGTCCCCTTTCTCAGTCACTGATAATTATACAAATAATTCCAATAAAAGAATGTTAAATTTAAAAGGAAATTAAAGAAATAAGGAGGGTTGCAATGAATTCTACTTTGTATTTAAGTATTTTATTAGGAAATTTATTATTATTAATTAATTATCCCCTTTACAGGAAGCTGCCAAAGATTTATTTTTTAGACCTGAGACCTGCACTTGTCTTTTGGTATGGTAATAATAATTGATGACATAAACAAGTAAAATGTCTGTTGATACCAAGTACCCACGACTTTGGGACTAAATTAAAGGACAAATGCGGTTTTCATTGATCTATTCAGTCAAAGAGATAAAAAAAATATTAAAAAAAGAGGTAAAGCCTCTTTCGCTATTATTTACCAATATAAATATAAAATAATATTTTGTAATAACGGATGTTGTTAGTATTTTTTGATTGTTTTTTTTTTCACCGTAACCGCGCTGGTAACACAATTATGAACGGAAGTCGTTGACCACTTTTTTCGACAAAACAAAAAAAAAACTTAAGAGAAGTGAAGTAATAATGTTGCGCCAAACACTTTGAGTTTTAATATACATAACTGAGATGATCGGTGGTGGTAGTTCCAATTAAAAACTATTTACGTAACACATCAGTAGTAAATATGAATTATTTTTTATAGCTTACCAGTTTCTAGAGTAGTTATTGTCACGGGTTTCAAAAAGATCTGAAATTAACCAAAAATAAACATTTTCCTTTGTAAAAAATGAGTAATTTAGAAGCATAATAAACTACGAGTATGTCTAACTACTTATGCTATTGAGAATTTTCAACGACTGCTCTTAAAACCACACCTCAGAGTCCGCCTAAAGGGGCTATGATGGAATGGATGGAACATTGACAGCTATATACTAACATAACAACCACACAAATACCACAAACAAAATATAAACAAAACTCTACTGTTCGCCCCAAAAGAATATTATATCCGACTTATGAGGCAAGCTACCAATTTTAGGCATATGAAATCGACATGGGAGAAGAGGCTCGAAGCGAGGATGGTAACAGAACAGAACAAGAATCCAGCAAGCGGCCAGTTACAGATTCAGATTTAGATACAGATACATTTGAGTGATCTCTTTGGCTTCTAACGTAAGCGAGAATTCTCGAGGTCAGCCACTTTTGTTATGAGACAGCCTCAAGTACACTGAGACAAATTAGTTATACAACACTTGAAGCTTGTGGAAAGCAAGACCGAACCACTGTCTGCATTCTCCCCTGGTTTATCTCAGAGATACAACACATAATAAAATGATTTAATATGGAATTTATATGGAAATATTTATTATGTGGAAATATTTCTGTCTGTGTAAAACACGTACATACACTCACATATAGCATTATGCCGCTCTCTATTCTCGGCCACTCTTGACCAACATATACTCTCATCTAAGAGACGGCTCTGTCCGGTTCTTGCTTTTTGCCACAACTGCTGCAATTGTGACTTTGTTGTTGTTTGTGCCGCCGCTGCTACCACTGTGTGGTTTTTACTTAATTTACTTTACTGTTATGTTTTTGCTTTCCGCTTGTTAGGCAAGCCAAGCAACAGCAACAGTCTAAGCCAAGTCCAAGCAATCCAAGACGAGCGACGGTGCATTCGCTTCACGAGTGTCAGATACTTTTCGGCTGGTTCTGTCGTCATACACTTGACATTTCTTGGGTGTGCAGCGGCGTGGCAGTGGCGTGGGCCCAACATCGTTTCATAACCAATCCATTAATAATAAGAAGCACAGATATATAAATAAAAGCAGAGGCAGAGGCAGACCGAAATGCCAAAAGGTTAATGCCAAGCCGATTGCAACAAAATCAAATCTGTCCAGTTCTCCACGTATGTATGTGATTACTACATACACCATGTTTGCTGTGGTCAAAAAATGTTGTAATTCCATTCCACGATTATGCAATCCCACTTTGCTTCGGCCATTATCAACGCCATAAACAATTAGTGCAAGCTCAAATCAATTCCGATTTCTGTTTACCTTTATTGTGCCGGGTGTCGGCTTTACGACTCTGATTTTTATTGGAGAGTTTCAGATAGAAGTTATGACGATCCGCCATAAAACAAAGAAGACGCTTTGTGTCCCATTGACACAGTTTTTTGCAGTTTATGAAACTTTATAGCTCTCCTATTCCTGCGATTGGGCTGACCTCCTGATAGAGGCCTTGGCAAAGGCGAAGCTGAGTACCGGTGACCCAAATACGCCTAAGCCATTGAAATGGTCAATAAAGTTGCCAATGATGAGGTACAGGAGATACGAATTATGGTTAAGTCTATGGATATCCACAGATGTTGGTAAACTATCGAAATTCTGGGTAAATAAAACATGACTAGTAATAATTTGTCTAAGAGATAGGCAGAAGAACCTATTAAAAGTGATTTGAAATGTATTTAAAATGCTCTTAAGAGCTGTGTAAAAACTCTAGTGATTTCTGTTGTACCGATGTATCATAACTAACTCAAATCACAGAGTTTATCATATTTAAATACCAACTATATGGTTGATAAGCTTTTGCACTCTCTTGTGCTCACATATCCTTAGAAGAGTGTCGTATTTTGAATTCACTCCACCAAGCATTTTTCCGCTTAAAGTTTGACAGGCATTTATGGCCCATAATGGAGGGTAAGCCGATGCTTTTGACAACTTTAATATGCTGGCAAGACCGCAGAGATCGCTGTGTTTACTCTGCAGGGAAGGCAACTGTGGCTCTGAACTCCACCGGGGATCTGAGACAAAAGGCGTGAAGCCTAAACCGATGATAAGTGCCTATAATGTCTATGAATATCCGGCTGCAGGCAGACACCACGAGGGACCGCAGTGCCAAGTAGTAGGCAAACAATGTCAGCCAAAGGATCCGCTCATGTAAGGAGGGGAAGCCTTCCCAAAGAGACTAAGGGGATTGTCGGGAATAAGCCGCCCGTGCAAGCGAAAAGGGTAAGGAACCATAATGACAACATGACATGCAAAGTTTTGTCAAAGCCCAGACGGGCAAACAATGTTGGATGTTGTTGGACGAGGATGAGCAAGAGGCTGAATCTGAGGATGAGGCTGAGGCTGAGGCTGGTGATGATGATGAACATGAGGATGAGCCGGTCGCCCTCGCAGACATAAGTAGCCAATGCTGGTTGGATGCGGGCCTTAATCAACTCACGGAGAGTGGGGGCGGTGGTTCCTGATTCTTATTTGTTTATTACTTTTTTTTCCTTACATTTTCTACATTTTTTGTTTAGCACGTTATATGAATAACTAATTGAGAGTGTACACCACAACACGTATGAAAGACGCCTCAGGCAAGAATGTGGACATGCACTGAACTAAAACCTATTCAAGTTTATTTAATATAAAACCAAAAATGTAGAATAGAATTGATATATAAAATGTATTTAGAATAATAAAGGTAAATAAATATATGATAGTATATTGGTTATATGATAGTATTCTGATAGCCCTGCTCCTATTGCCTCAGTGCTTCTCCCGGTGCACCACATCCATTAGATACATCTTCCAGCGGGTGCCACGGGAGTAAAGCCTGTTGAGGGCGGGCGGTTCGTTTCAGAGCCGACAAACCATGACTGGGCATAACAAGCAGCCAGCGAGAGCCAAGAAGCAACTGCCAACTGCCAACTACCAACTACCAACAAGCATCTACACTTCGAGGTCCCGGCTCCACCAAGAAGTGGAGTAGGACAGCATCAGCAGAGGCATCGGGCCGGTTCAGTTCGATCTTCGGCCTAAACTGGTAGCACATTTCCTTCTTTCTTTATCGCTTTTTTTTCTTCCCCAGATTTATATTTTTTGTTTTCATTTTTTGCCAGTGCCAGGGCTGAGTCATCCTCAAGTCGGGAGTCGGCTGCCTGTGTTTTGCATTAGGCCAAGTTCGATGACTAAGCAGACTTGATTTCTGGTTCTCCCTTCTCGGCGGCGACCGGCATAACTTCAATGTGACCGCATCTTGAGCTTGATTGCCGGCCGGAGCAGATGGTGTCATGTCCATGTGGTCATGGTTACTCCCGAAAGGGTGTGCGAGTGTGCGGCATACTTGAACTTGCGCCAAGGTACACCAAAGCTCTAAGGTCAATGAATTTAAGGTTGAGTTCACGCGGAGAGCCACAGGAATTTCAGGGGATAAGTTGGTTACCAAATCCCTTTTGTGATTTTGCTTTGCAGTAAACTATACATCATACATTTCTTGTATTCCATACCATCGTATATTTCCTTAAGCGAAACTTACACAGAACTAATGCCATTTAGCTAGAATGGGTTCGAGTGCAAGCAAACGTTTTAGGAGAAATTCCTAGTTGAAACTTAAGGCTTGTGCATCACATTTAGTTCAGGTTTCAAGTTTAAATGATGCATCGTTCTATAATTGCCTCCAAGTACACTTTTTAAAGTAACCCAGCTGAACGGAACCAATTAAAGCCTGGCCAAGTCAAGTCGCAAACAGTTGCATCAGCCTCCCCCTTGGAGTGGAACATGTGTGAAAGATTTTAAGCAGGCGATGCTCATAAAAACTATTTTTATTGCAGTTGCACATTAAATAAGCCCGTTAAAATCAAATGCATTTGTTAAATGTGCAAACAAAAATAGAGTGAGACGAAATGAAATACGACATGTACACTATATGTATTAAGGCGAGGGAAACAAAGAATATTTTGTTTATTTATATACTCTTCTTGATCAAAGCCAATGCTTGCGAAACCGTGACATATGGCGAAGGCCAGACGATGATGATTAAATGCCTCTGAAGAAGAATATTTTGTTTTATGTACGATAAAACCGAATTAAAACAAAGACAAGCCAATGTTATTTACTAGATTT